GCCAGCAGGTAACCAGGAACAGCTTGTGTGTTTTAAGTTAATTGACCGCTACTGGGCTCAGCACGAGTGTATTGGTCCTCACAAGGGTATAACAGGAATGTGTGTGTGGCACGCAAAGTTTTAAGTGACGAGGTGGATTCGTCACAGTCACAATAACCATGACATGAAATTTTCATATCGTACAACAGGGATGTTCTTCTGGCAAACGGGTAGATAAATAAGGATCTCAACGAATTCGGTGGAAGCTGCATCTCGCTTGTTACGTTCGCCATCATCCCTCTAATTGTCTGCACCTGCGCTTGGGTGCAGAAGCCTGTTAAAGTGCATTATTTTCAGAGCCCCAAGACCATAAAGTTCTGAGACGCTGATTGGCCATCAAATTCACGTAGCAATAGTACATGATTGGCAGATTCTCTGCAAATGTGGGGCTGTCTGATCACAGCCCCAAGACAGAGGAGGTAGGAGTCTGTCTGTGGAAATCCACAAATGAATGACAGTAGATAGGGAAATGTAGTTTATATAATTTGTTTTGCTTATAGGTACACACTCTAGAGAGTAAAACTGACATTTATGAGTTAATTTCCAAAAATATATTTTACGTTTCTCTCTTCTTATCAGGGAGGGCGGTGCCCCAGCGCCCCCTATGGGCCGGCCGCCACTGGATATAGTATTTTTTCCCTTTTATTTAATTGAATCCACTCTGACTTATAGTCAGGATAATCAGGATGGTGTTACAGCCTGTTTGGCTGTGACATCATCCTGGAGAGAAATATCAGCTGTTCTGCTGCTATCAACACCTTTGTTTATAGATGTTGGAGATTGTGACTGTGATTGTCAGTGGGACTGGCTGGATGTCGCCTTTTATAGTTGTTTTTGTATCGCTGCTTCTGTCTCTTTGAACCCCAGTTGGCCTTGGCAGATGGCTGCTAATACTGAGTCTGGTTCTGCTGGAGGTTTCTTCCTGTTAAAAGGGAGTTTTTCCTCTCCACTGTCGCTACAGGCATGCTTAGTGTGAGGGATTGCATTCTAGTCAATTTGTCGATGCAATCAACTGGTTTTCCTTAGAAATCTTTGAATCAATTTGACTGTATGATCTGGTGAACTGTAAAGTGCCTTGAGATGACGTGTTGTGAATTGGCAATATATAAATAAACTGAATTGAATTGAAATTTGGTAACAGTTGCAGTAACATAGCTGTTTTTTTATATAAATTTTATAACTAAAATTCCAAATCCAGAATCCAGTTTGCTTATAAAAGGATGGAAATAATCTATAGAAATAAGCTGAATTTAATTGAGTAATTTGCATTAAAAGGTGGTTCAGGCAGTATGCTTGTAAGGCTTCTAATTATCATCTTATCCCAAAGGAAGGAGACCACTGGGCAAACCTGGAAACCACTGGAGTGTATATATGGGGATTTGTGGATCAATTTTTGCTTCCATGGGCTGGAAATAACATTGGTTGAATGGATCGATGATTCAGTTATAAACATTTTCTGTAATGTATTTTTAAAAAAGGGATAAACATTTATATTGAATCTTACACTGACAATTGAAAAGAATATGTAAGGGGGAATATTAGAGAATAGAACAGCAACAACGAAAACAATTATCCATCTTTTTATTTGCAATCATTTTTATGCACAATCATTTAAGAAAAAAATCAAACAAACATGCATGAGTCATCTCTGTTTTACAATAATTGTCCGGGTTCATCTCTTTCATTTTATCTATCCATTAGCTGATCTGTTGGACCCATTTAGCTGCCCAGTCTATAGCTGAGTGGCTTCAATTTGGAGGAGACACAGGCAGGGGAGCAGCTTTAAATAAAACAAAATGATTGTCGTCTAAAGGACAGAGAGTGAATCCTGTTGAAGCTGGAGTTAAAGGGATCATGGGCGTCCAAACACAAGCCCCTTAAAAGACACACAAAATTTCTGTTATATATACTGGCTACTTTATTGGCCCACATCAATCTGATCTATATCACATACATCAGATTTATGTGACAGATCTCTAAAAAAAAATTATGAAGCACTTATAGGTTATTAACAACATCTAAAATATGTATATAAAAATGGCACTATTCATTATTAAATGTAACTACAATCCAAAATCTATTCTGTTGACCCCTGAGCCACGGGACCTTTTGGGCTTGTTGCTGGGCGACAGCATGGGTTGTGTCCATGCAAGTCTTAAATATAGAGATGTGGAAAAAAAAGCTATTGAAGATTAGTCCCTCTTGAGCTCTAAATCGATGTGTTTGAGCATTTAGCAGATCGCTCTTTCAGTCCAGACACCCAAAGCAGGAAGGGTTGGCACATATCTCACAAGGATCTGATGACCTCATGATGTATGCTGTAAAAGAAAAAGAGAGAAATGGTAAATAAAGATTAATCGTACTAGGGATGTGCACAGCCATTTTTTACTCATTGCAAAAAATCAGAAAGGTGGCGGGGGGCACAGATTGTCTGATCTGTTAATAATGTAAATAAAAATGCCCCTCAGTCGTATACATTTATACTTTTGTTCATCCCACTTTTGTGGTTTTATGCTGAGAAACGTACAAATAAAATAAATAAGTGACGTGTTTAACAGCGAAATGTGACTCAATTAATCTCCAGAAAATTGAGACCACAGTATATATTGTTTTACTGTTTTTTGACACCGATAATATAACACTAATAAGATCAATATACCCCACCAAAGTGGAATCTAGCTCAATTTAAGGCAAGACCTACTGTTAATTTCAAATAAGTAACCTATTTTGGGTAGTAATTGGGCCAAAGATTGTACTTAATTAGTATAAAATCAAGCACATAGGTAAAACATAATATTTTCTTGCTTTATTTTATATTTTGTTTTGTATGCTGCTTTATATGATGGATAATTATATTTGCTGTTCTACACATTAGTTTTTAATATTAATGACCTTCTAAAAATGCATGAAAAATATCTCCTTGACTAAAGGCTCACAGAAAAATAATTCTGTAAATATAAAATATTGTAAGTGTAGACTAGTAGAGGCAAGGATGCATTTATTGTCTTGTCTCTGAAGGTAGGGTGCATGTCTCAGAGGTATGTATGGGCATGTGTGGGTGGAGCTGTAAGTGGGTGTTGACATGTGTCTGGAGCTGAATGATTGTCTAATGAATATCACCTGGATCTGCTCTGGGGCTGTTTGCTTGTTTGATTCAGAGAGAGGCTAAGGCAGGGTGCCAATATTTCTGTTGATCGCAAGTTTAAAGCTAAATAAGTCTACAAGTCTGCCTATTATACCGTACAATGCTTCATAGAAAAAGGGTACAATAAACATCCCTAACTGCAGTAAAGCTTTACGTTTCCTCCTTGGATTCAGCTGTGGAACAGATCCCTGCTCTCCTCTCCCTGACTAATTTTTGGATGATAGTCGCCTACAGTAAGTTTGCTTCTATTTTCAATAGTTTATTGTGAAATCTATTTTCCCTTCTTTAGAAGGATGTGAGCATACTTCTTTTTCCCTCTTTAGCCTTTCAAATAATAACATGAAAAGCCATTTTATAAAAAAATATTTATCATTTCCAGAAGATGTGACATGGAGAGAGAGGGAGAATAATATTCTGAAACATCCAGACAATAAAGGGCCAAAGGTTTTAGCACCACTAGGAGTTTTTCTGTGGTTGAACTCTTTTTATATTGCTCCCAAAGCTTTTTTCCCCCCTTTTTAATCTAATGCTGCTTATAGTTATGCTGGAACATATTTACTTTGTGTGCGGCCACCATTGTGCAGTCTGATGAGCTTCAAAGGGCCTCTAAGACTGTTTGTTCGGCTTTTATAAGCACTTGTCTGAAGTCACAGTTCCAGAGGTATTTTATGGAGCAGGAATAGCAGGATGTAGATTATAAACTGTGTAAACTGAACTCTAGGGAACCATTTAAGTAAACTAACCAAAGTGCATCCCTGTATTCTGAATCTAACCTAGACTCTTAAGGAGAGTTTGAACCTCAGTGATAAAACTAAGGATTAATCTGTTACACTCAGAAGTAGATCTTTACTTTATTCTAAAAAGTCATAAACAACCATTTTTTCTACAGAAAAAATAAGAATTAAGTGTTTAGTGTGTTTCAAAATGTCAGTTGTAACAATACATATTTGACATTTTAGGAACTGCACTTATTTTATTGATTTCAATGTAAAAGAAAAAAAATAAAGATTGCATTGTGAATATTGGTATTCAAGCAATTTTTCTCAAATTACCACATCCAACATAATAAAAGCATGATACAGTCGGGGTAAATGAAAAGTGGAAACTCTTTGAAGCCGGACGTTTGACTGTCATAAAGCAAGGACATAAAAGTCATCCAGCCTTTACAGGGTTCTGTTCTGTATAATCTTTTTTAATGTGTGTAAAATTCTCAGAAGAGGCTCCAAAACACCATTATATTATGAAAAGTATGAAGACAAAAAAGACAATAAGTACACCGTGGATTCAGCTGATTGTAAAACGAAGGCTTTGTGCGAATGTCCGCCCTAACCCTTATATAGGGCACTATATAGTCCCTATATAAGGGTTATGCCATTTTAGATGAGTGTCCGAATGTCTAGTGGATGAAAAAGTAGTGGACTCAAAATTTACCACAATACACCTTGAAAAGTAGTGATCATCCATTGTCACTAGAGGAGCAGATATAGCACGGAATGGGATATATCCCATCATGGGATTTGTTTGGATTTGACAGCTGTGACAAATAAAGATGGCGCAGGCACTGTGGGGAAGCGCAGTCGCGTGACCAATGGGAAGGCGAAACATAGTGATCATCTGTCCAAACGGTCAGCTAACTAAGTTTACTATAAAGCCCACCATATAGTCCTTTATATACTATATATGTAGGGATTTAGGGGTTAGGGCGGATGTTCGGACACAGCCTAAATTTCAGAGCGTGGTTTTAAACTCATATGTGTGAAATAATTTTACCACATTGTTTTTGTACCACTTTGCATCAGTTTATTGAGGTTTGTGGGCGTTCATTTATGTAGGACAATTAAATTTGATTGTGGGTGAGGTTTGGACTTTGACTGAACCTTAACAGCGACTCCGTTGTGCTGCTGTAGTTCCAGCTTTGTGTCATGTTGCATGACCCTTTGACTAAGTTTGAGCTGCTGGAAAAAAAACACTACATTATAATTTAAAGTACTATAATGTGCAAGGTTGACTAATTACTCCAGACTGATGTGGTCCTAGGGTACAGCAGATTGAATTAAAATTAATATTCAGTTTTATAAGTGTTACAATTTATGTTTTTGGTAGGTTTTAACTAAACAGAGGAATATTTGTTAAAACCAAATATCTCTATGTTGTTCATTTGTCTGGTGAGTCTTGCACTTCACTCAGATGCATTTTTCTGGCATTCTTTTGATGTTATAGAATCTTTTAAATAACTTTACCATTCAGCACTAACATTTGATATTCTCGCTAATAAAACAACTTTTTTCAGCCTCCCTCTGCTTTGCACTTTGTGACATTTGCTTGAATCTCCTCCTCTAGGAAGATTGCAAACCCTCCTAAATGTTTTGTTTTTACTTGTTAACAATTTGTTTACTTTTTCTATAGATTAATAGACGACATAAACTATTCTCCTAAAGTCATTGCTGATCTATTTCAATTTTGGCATTATGGAAACTAATTCTCCAGAATATAAAATCCTCTGCTGTCCCTTTTAAATATGGGATTTGAAGGTGTGTAGCTTGTTACACAGATTAATTTTTCCCCCACATGTTATAACCAGTTATTTCTAACATGTTATGTTAGAAATAACAGGGCATAACCGTTTTTATAGTCAATGTTTTAACAAATGTTAGTAAAGACCTGGACCTTTTTTTTCTTTTTATAGGACGATCCTTAAAATTTGAAAGTTATTAAAGGAGGCTGCCTTTTAAACCTTTTACGTGCCAGATTTATAATAATATATTCAATTTGTACTTTATCCACATCTGTGGGCACATGAATAATAATCCTTCAGTAAATTGCATTTATATTTTTCATAAATATGTTTGGTTCTGGATTATAAAGTTGGTTTTCATGGATTCTATTTTAAAATGACCATAACATTGATTAAAACATTATAGGAGCAAAGTGTGATGAGATTCAAACATATAGCATGTCTTTCTGAACATACTTATAAAAACCTACATGTATATGATTGATTATATATCTATTTATCTAACAGTTGCTAGGATAACTTCTATGTGAGAGCTTCTTCATCACTCTGTCGTGAGACCAATTTTTTGCATATGGGTCAAAATATAGATTACTTGAAGCTTATCGAAAAGAGCATTTTATGATGATCCTAAATAAACAGCATCCTTTCCTTACCTAGTCTTGAGAAAACGATTCCTGCTCCCTTCCCTTGGCACACTGGGCGAAAGACTTGAGGCAGGAGAGGGTGGGCACACACTGCAGCACTGCTTGTCTCTGCAAGATGGGGGTTGAGGCCGTCTTCCAATTCCATTAGCTCCTTCAGCTCCCTCACCGCCTCTAAGGGAAAGCTCCTGTCCCCAACCTGCAGAGGAATGTCCCAGAAAAGGTTGCAGGTATAATAAATGTGTTGCACAACCAAACCTTCTTCATGCAGAAAGTTAGAGAAAGACTTCTTTATAATTTGCCTCAAAACATTTCAGTTTTTAAAATTACATTAAAAGACTTGAAGGTTATTTAGTACAATTTGCAACAACTGAAATTATATTTAAAAGAGTGCAAACTAGAATTAGATTAAGAAAACAAATTTAAAATCAAATAAATCTGCATTTCCGACCTACCTTGACTTGCACACTCAGAGCTCCCCTCCACACACACAGCACCAAAACAAGGACTATAGCGAGGACCCTCATTTTTTCAGACGATTCAAGATAACTCTTAGTTTAAAGCAGCGTTTCTTCTCTGATCTCTGAGCTCCTCTGCAGCCTCTTTATAAAGCCTGAGCACATATTGGCACATATTGTTAAGTGATGTATTAACACACACCTGGCAGTGAGAAAGAGAGGGAGTGTGAAAGTACAAACCGCTCAAAGATAATCACAAGCGGTACCAGTGTACAATGAGTGCTTTAGATCCTCTTTTTTTGTTTATGATCTGGCTTGTGCCATATTTTTTACAGCATTTATCTCAGCTCTTTATGCCATCATAACAACTCGGTATTGACTTTAGATTAAGAACTAACCCTCAACATCCCTCAGTGCCACCTAATAAATCTCACATCTTGACTTTTCTCATGGATAAAAGTCGCAGAGCTGTTGGATGAGGAACAAGCCTTATATATGTAAGAAGGGGAATCACGTAGGTCATTTATTAAAATGCTTCTGATATTTACAATAAATGACATTCTGATAATGTCACCTTATCCCATCTCCTGTTTTTATTTATTTGACCTCATTAGCAGTTAATGTTGTCTAAACTAAATGTATTTTAAATGAAAGTGCTTTATTTAGGTACATAACTTTCAGATCTTTCTGATGCAACCCCCCCCCCCCCCAAAAAATTATTATTACAAAAAAAAACCCCATTGCTGATCAGTCATTTGCTGCAGACATGAATATATCAGTAAATTCAAATATATTTTATATAAAATCTGTATCATCTAAATGCCTCACATAGTGAACTGCTTTACTGCAGGTTTATAATTGGATGCTTAACAAGCCTTAAACAGAATTAATTGACCATATCTAATCAATGTTACTCTGGGCTGCATTAGTAATAAGTTTCTCAAGTGGATCGAAATCCTACACACAGACCTTATAGCAAGCGTCATCAAAATGATAACGAAATCTTAACCAATTGCTCTACAGTCATCTACGCAGTAGGGAGGCCATTTGTCACCAGTTTGTTCTCACTGTGGAGCCACAAAGAAGGCACATCTTTGACTTCCATATAACTGTGAAGGTAAGAGTATTATATATCCATTAAAACTATTGATATCTTGTTTTAATCAAATCTGCAAGTAATTCACCTACACCTCCTCAAAAAAAGATAAAATTGATAAGAATATTGTATTGAAATATTCAAGAAAGAGAATCTCGCATCATAAAATCTGTTTATTGATCTAAAAGAAGAGTTCAAGTACTTAGAAATCAAGGTAAAGATATAAAATAAATGTTAATAAAATGCAGATAGTTATTTAAAACAAGCTTAAAATAGGCTTCAGAAACTTTAGATTGACGGGTGTAAAAAGTTATCTTTAACAAATATAGGCAGGTATAGGACTCCGAATGTGATGCTTTATCTGCAGTTTATTGGTGGTGGTGGTGGTGGGGGGGGGTCTCCAGGTCCCAAATTTGAATTGCTAATATCAAGATTGTGATTTATAAACTAAGCAGTGTGGTAAGTAACCTAACTGCTTTCCTTTAGCGCTAACAAACTGTTGCTTCCTCAAACATCTACCTGTGTAATTACGGGGTACAACATTCTTCTTCTCAACAGTAACCTGCCTGAATATTTATAAAAACAAAACATCAGCAAATAACCTTAGATTTATCTCATGCATTTATTCAGAGGAATTCTAAAACTAATATAAATGGAAAAAAATGGTCCATTTAAGACGATGCATTTTCTGGGTTTCTACTGTAACAGTATTGTCGTATTATTTATTATCTAGGAGTCCTACAAGCAACATAATCTGCTACATAAAATTGACTGAATACCAACACATATGTGTGTAAAAACATTGAATGTCATTTTGGTTTAGGGAGTTCTGTGCTAAAAAGAAAGGCAGATAGGTTTAAAAGAGAAATGGAGGCTTTTCTTGGACTTTTTGCTGCACAGCAGTGCATACTTCTTCTAACCCTGTTCTACGTTCTCTTTGTCATTTTATGATTCCTTCATTCCCTTATGGTAAGGAAATGTGTCCTCTCCTTTTAATTCACTTGACACATTTGGCTGCACATACTGAGCAGCTCAGGGACCAGAAGTCATCGTCTACGTTTCAAACCTGCGACTATTGGAGCCTCTTCAGGAAGCAAACGTCACGCTCACTAACCACACACTGCACTCCTCATAGAACCCCCCCCCCCCAAAAAAAAAACCAAACAAAAACAAATGTAAGCACTTTTCGTGTTTTAATTACCAACATTAAAAAACAGTTCTTCAAGCATTTCTTCCTGTTAACTTTGATCAAAATAGTTTACAGCTAACAAAACTAAAAAGTACAAATATTTTGAATATTACATTTACCTGACATAAAAAGGATTTCTAACCTAGATGTGAGCATCATGAACAACATGTCTATTTATAGTACAGTATATGCTCTCCACACTTCAAAGCCACATTTGCATGCATTATTACATAACTCCACCATAGCATTGAGATAATATGGATGGACCATTGCTGAGTTATCAAGAAAGCCACGTTGTTCTACTAGTGACCCGTAGTTTGCCTTTATTGTTGGGCGTAGTGACTCACCTTACATGATATTTAGGTCAGGTAGGTTTTTTTATGACTAATCAAGTACAATTACAGCATAGTCATTAAACTATTAAAAGTCTGGGACTTTGATTTGAAAATGAGAAACGGCATTTAATTGAAATCTAAAAGTGGACTTTGAAGCACTGAGCAACAGTCTCTTTTGTCCTTAGTCCAAGTAAGATGGTACTGGTAAAGGAGTGGCTCAACAAAAAGAATTGAACAGTTGTTGCTTATATCCAGGATATAATATATTTCTACAGTCTATTGATGCCCTTTAATTACTGACTCCAGTCTGCATCCTGTGAATCCCCCACCAGCTCCTAAATTGTCTTTGCTTAAATCATTCTGTAATATTTTCTGCCACATTTTTTCCTCGCACTCAACTTTCTTTGATCAGCGCACACTTTTAAAATTTCAAGTAATTTCACAGTGCCCTTTCTGGGCTTACTGTTCTTTTGGAAGATGTAACTGAGACACTAAACATCTGATAAATCAACAGTCCTCCCTTGATTTTTTTTTTTTTTTTCCATTTCTTAAGTTTACTTCATTAAAATATATAAATCCTGGCTAATGTGGTCGTTTTTACTATCTGAATTGTTTTTTCTCCTCCATGTGTTAAGTATACTTTTGTGAGTATGAATGATTAAATCTGGCTCTTGAGTGAAGTTCTGTGAGTTTTCATTATTACTAGTACATTATTTCATACAGTTATAGATTTTTATATTATTTTATACAGTCATAGATAAGATGAGGAGTATTGTTCATAATTTTAATTGTTTTGTACCTTGGTTCATTATTAATTTTTTAATAATTACTTAAACACAGACTGACGTTCTCAAGACATGAAAGTACATCAGAGCACTAAAAAGTACTTTTCCACTCTGGAAATGTGGTCCTAATTAAAATAATGCTAATACCTGCTTTAAGAATGTTATCATTAAGAGTTACATTAAACTGTTAAATCAGCCTCATCTAAATGCAGAGTTTAAGTTATAAAAAATTACTGTTGATATAGTCTATTTATCATGACACCACGTAGTAGAAGCCAATATCTGATATTAAGTCAGAAGCTATTATTTTAAAGAATTAAGAAAGATCCTTGCTGAAAAAATTTGATTTCTGCACAAGCTTCTGAGTATATGACTTTGTTCTGAGGAAAATGACAATAAAAGATGATTTTGATGGAGAAGCAAACTGTTGAAGACAAACTGAGCTGAGCAATAATACAGTTTTTCAGAGTACAAACTGCTCAACAAGTAGATGATCATAGATGAAGGTGGTTTTGGTGCAATCTATAAAATTCTGTTTTGTTGGTAGGAAAAAAAGGTCAGCTTATATAATGGTTTTCATTCACCTCAGCCAAACATTTCCTCTTATTCAAAATAAACCTTGTAGCCATTTTCCATGCTTGTATAACAACATGATCGTTTTTCTGGCTTATAGATGTGCAGTGGAGAACAATAAGTATAGCTGTGTTTAAACAGAACACCGGAAAAAAAAATCTTTCCAGAACAACTTAAATCTTTTGCTGCTATGGTGAAATCAGTCTCTATAAATGAGAAACAGGGGCTCCTAGCTGAATGAAACAAACCTGTTTGATCTCTGAGTGGAGAGGTGTCCGTCTCCCCACGTCTGCATCTGTGATGTAATGGTGAGTCAGAGTCTGGATTTATTTGATTAGCAAAGAAAAGCCAATTTATGGTCACTACATCCGTGGGAGTGAACCACTTTGCTGATGCGCTCCAGTCTGTGATGCAATACAATCTATATCAGCTGCTCAACTGTTCTACTCAACATACATTTAATAATTTAGTTATGATTTCCACCTTATGCAAATTTCTCATTGAAAGTCTGTACTCAATACAAGGGTCTACCGTGTTTGGCTCTATATTTGGTGACATTTTACATGGGAGACTGATCAATGCAAATGCATGCTTTAATTTGCTTTGGAACAAACACAGGTGTCCAAACCATCAGGGGACCACCAAAGAGTCAGAGGACCATGGACTCCCTCATCTTAAATGCAAAGCCAATTTAGATTTGTTAATGAACCAAATAGGTCTTTCACTGGATGTTTATTTAATACTTCGAACACCTGGAGACCAGAAAATAAAGGTTCAAACGGAAGATTAATTCCACTGTCTTCAACATTTAAGAGACAGCAGGTGACAAACTAATATAAGGCAAGAGACGTTTTTTAATGTCCATCCTCTGATGCACAAAGCAGTTTAAAGTTCTTTCCATAATAATCGTAGAGTGTATAAAAAGTAAAAAAAAAAAAAAACACTATAAACTTTAAACAGCCCAGCATAAAAACTAATCCTAAAATGCTAATTTTCTTTATTCCATGATTCACTCATCATTCATCAGGGACTGGGGAAATTGTTCATTCCACTTTCTGATTGAAGGCTGCCATATTTCTAATGTTTCTAGTCCTTGTTGGAGGGGTTAAATATTTCATAATATCTCAGGTTTCAAGAGAATTAGCTCCTGAATATG